AAAGGGACATCTGTAGTACTTTCAACAATAAAGATAAAATATAAAAATATTCACATTTTATATCAGAGGAACCTAAAGCACAGGGAAGTTAGGAGAACTTTCCCCAACATCACACAGCTGCTAAGAAGTGGAGCCAAGATTTGAACCTGTGAAGTATGGCTCCACTGTGGTCTGAATGCTCTGTATATTTTAGCTGCTAATTATGAGGGTCTTCATATCTCAGCATTTCAAGGGACTTCCAGAGACCATTCTTTACCCCAAAGGCAAGGATCCCCTGTGGGTGTGGGAAGACTTTTGGGGCCTGCAATGGGAAGGGTAGTGCTAGGGGGAGTGGCCTTTCATATGGAAAAGACGCTTAAGCTTCCCAGTTCCCTTAGTTTGTTTCAAGAGCTCCAGGTCCAGGCACTTTTAGGAAGTGAAATCTCCTCTCATAATGATGCTGTGGGTGTGTGTGTGTGTGTGTGGGGGGGGGGGTCAATTGCCACCGACTGTTTCCTGCATTCCCGGAGACATCTTACCTGAAAAGAAAACTCCAAATATCTCCCCTCTATCCTGCCCAAGATCCCAGGCTGAGGTGGGGGAAAGCATTTCTCAGGGGTAGAATTCTTTGTTCCTTCCTCCCAGCTGAGTTCCATTTCTCCACTGGGAGGACTGAGTCCCCAATACTTACTGAAGAACCCCTCAACCAGCCCAGGTTCCTGGACACCCCCCAGGAGGATGAACGGTACCAGTATTGACAGAAGTCCTGAGAGCCCCATTTTAGGAGGGGCTGGTCTGGCTGGTGGCACCAAAACTAAGAACAAGTGCTAAGCAGCAACCTCAGAGCTTTTGGCTGCCCTGACACAGCTTAACACTCCAAGAGGTACACGTCACTGGAGACCAGCCAGCTACTCTCCCTCCTCCAAGGAACGCCAAGTCCCCGAGGCCATGAATGGGACTAGCTGACACCCACAGCACCAACCCTGAGGGAAGGGGCTCCTGATAGGCAGCATCTAGTCCTCAAGTGAGCTGAGACTCTCTGGCTATCTGGTCAACCAGAGAGAGAAAGTTTATCGGGGGCTTCTAAACTCCTTTAGCAGAGGGAATGTTCGATTCCAAGGTCTCTCATTTTTCAGGGAGAGTTTGGAGGTCAAGAGTATCCTAGGTCTTGTCTTTCTTTCCAAACTTACTCTTCTGGCGTGTTTATTTTTCTGTCTGCTTGTTTTTCTCACGCTGTTCATTTTCTTCTCTCTGTGCCTCTTTCTTTTACTCTGTCCCTGTCTTTTTCTTTTTTTTTTTCTGTGAGTCTCTCACGGTCTGGGTCTCTTTCTCCCTGCCCTTCTATTTCCCTCTGGCCCTTTTCCTTTCTAATCTTTGGGCCATCCCTTTTCTTTAACCATCGTCAAAGAGTAAAGCTATTGCCACAAAAAGCATGGAAGGGAGGAGAAGGTTGATTCCAGATTGAACCAAATCTTCAGAGTGCCTATCAAAATCATGATACTTTGAAAGCAGGAGAGAATGTTAGGGCTAACGGAGAGCTTCTATCATCGGGTTCAATTTGGAATAGGTGAAGCAGTAGGGAAATAGTAAATAAATGTCAGTTATGACCTCAGAACCAGCTGCATCAATGGGTGGTGCCTGAAGATTATTCCATTGAACTTTCCAATTTAAGGCTTGAAGCATCAGTAAGACATATTCTTAGCTCACCTGCAGCTGCAATTCTAATGTACATTTTTTTCTAATCCATTTTTTATAATTGAGATGGAATTCACATTATATAAAATTAACCATTTTAAGTGAACAGTTAAGTGGCTTTTTATTACCTTCATGATGTCGTGTAACCATCACCTTTATTAGTTCCAAAACATTTTTATCACAAGAGAAAACTCCATACCCATTAGCAGTCACTCTCCATTTTCCCCCAGCCTTACTCCAGCCCCTGGCAACCACTAATCTATTTTCTACCTCTATGAATTTGCTTATTCTGGATATTTTATATAAATGGAACCATAGAGTGTATGGCCTTTTGTGACTGGCTTCTTTCACTTAGCGTAATGTTTTTGAGGTCCACCCACAGTGTGGCATGTATTCATGCTTCCTTCCTTCTTATGGCTGAATAATATCTAGTGCATATTGATAGCTTTCCACTTCAAGCATCAGAGTCTCTACTTCTCTGCTGAGAGTTTTTTCTGGCTCCTGGGAGCTTGCTCAGATTCCATACAGAACAGCCTGGAAGAATGAGGGATTTCATGCCCCACGCCCCCACCCCAGACATCCAGGAGGATATGGGAATCAGTGGATACACACCTTAGCTTCCCTATAACTACAGATGGAGACATGTTTTACATGGTCTTGTGGAAGGTCTCCAGTAGAATTAAGCTACAGTTTGCACAGTGGTAACCAGCTCATTATCAACTCCTTGCTTTCCTATATCACTTACCTACTCCTCACATTTATCTCCCAAATAAACTACTTTTACCCATGCCCTTGTCCTAGGATCAGTTACTGGGGTATCCAAGCTAAGGCAATGCCCAGGAGCCCTTATCATAAAAGGGTCTTGCAATTTTTTGAAGAAACAGAGGAGAATAACAATATCCCTGTATCAATTTTCAAGGTTCTGATTTTCTTCACTCTCTTTAATGGTGTCTTCAGAAGCCTCAGTAAGCTTTTACTCTCCACAAACCATAATGTACCAATAGATGTGAGTCATTCAGCCTTAGAGGCACAGGATCAAACAGTATTTTATTGGGAAAAATTGGGAGCTACATAGGTATAAACAGGGGGTGCTAGAAGTTGGACTTTAGAAATGGGATTAAAACAGGATATTTTATATGAAAAGAGACTGAAACGGAAGAAGGGGGAAGCAGATCCAGGGGTTTAGTCTTGGGAAGGGCTAAGGCCTTGGAATGCTGGGAGTGGAACAGAGGAAGCCAACTTGGAGTGCCGATCGGGCACACAGACAGAGCCTTGAATCATGAGCCAAATCCTGGTGGTGTTCCAGTTAATCCGTATGCATTCAGGATTAGAAGCCTGTTGACAATGTAGACCAAGACCAGCTGAGCATCTTGGGCTTTTCTTCAGAACTAGTCTTGAAGTTGTGTTTGAACATTTCCACAGGACATTAAACAGAAGTGAGTTTACTTTGGGAAGCTATACATCTCCTTAGAGGAAAAATGGATGTGGATGGGAGTGGATTACTAGCAAAACATTGTAGTGAGGAAATTAATGGTCTGGAAATTAATGGCCTGGGTGGTTGGTCAACATGCCCAGTGCTAGGCTGGGTGTCATGTGATCTCTCTGAAGTTGGGTCTCTGATATTTCACCACATCTGCACCCTCCCTCCACTCCTCATACTTGCCAGCTTTGATTCATGACCACGTTTTTTCCCAGTCTCAGTTCCCACTAAGCCCCTGTCCAACCCTCTGTGAGATGTATTCTTACCTCCTGATTGAAGCTGATTGTGCCAAGGATGCAGCCATCCTAGAATGGACTAGCCAACACCCAGACCTCCCACGTGGCCCTGGTGAGGATGGGAGGTCGAGGCCCTTGGTACTCACGTTTTTTGGAGCACATATTCTGACACAGGTCTTTGGTTTGGAAGTTGTTATTGTTTCCTTGGCAGCCACCATAGATGAAAGTGGAACAGGTATCATTTTTCTTATCATACCACCAACGACGAAAAAAAGCCATGCAGGGCCCAGGATTTTTCGGCAAACTGCAGATATCTGCAGGGAGATCCCAGAGTTGAGAACTTAGAGTGCCCACCCTGAAAAAATACAACTGTTACTGTCCCTTTGGCAACCCCCATAGGATAAAACCGAGCAGTCTCCTTTTCACCTTATCACACCGTGGGGCCCAGCTCCATTTATGTATTGTGCACCTTTGCAGGGCGACCCTGAAGTGGAGCTGTTTGGGCAACTGCCTCCCTGGGAAACATCGGTATCTCCCTTCCCTCTGGTCACTGGCCTCGTTGTCTCCCCTGAGAGTGAGGAGACTCTGGCTTCAAGGTTCTTTTCCTAATTCAGTGTCTGCCCGTCGACCTCCCACATTACCTATCTTGTCCTCGACTTCCATTTCTGTAAAATGGAAATGCAAAGTCTCACCCTGCTCGTTGCACAGGGCCGTCCTGAGGGCAGGTGAGACCACCCTCATGGCCCTCTAAGTTGCCAGCTCTTTGACTGTATCTGAATGTGCAGCTTTGAGCACAGCGCTTGGCAGAGAGTAGCTGCTCAAAAAACATGCCCCGAATAAATAAAAGATATGGAAATTAGAAATTACAAGCCATTTACTCTGCCTTCCAAAGCATGCCAAGAAGAGACTATGTGATCATGAGTAAAGTGCAAGTCCAATGCAGAGAAGGCGAAAGTAGTTTTTCAGATGGTCAAGCCCCCTTTCTTCTTGTGGTTAGTTTCATTCCTGTTATGAAATGAATTGCATCCCCTCACCCACCAACCCATTTATATGTTAAAGTCCTAATCCTCAGTACCTCAGAATGTGACCCTACTTGGAAATAGAGTTGAGTTATACTGGAATAGGGTGCATCTCTAATCCCGTATGACCAATGTCCTTAGAAAAAGGAGAAATTTGTTCAGAGACACACACAGGGAGAACACCATGTGAAGTTGAAGACTGAGGTCTACAAGCCAAGGAATGCCAACCGTTCCCAGCATACCCCCAGAAATTAGGGGAGAGGCATGGAACAGATTCTCACACACAACTGAGAAAGAACCAACCCTGCCAACACCTGACCTTGGACTTCTAGCCTGCAGAACAGTGAGACAATACATTGCTGTTGCTAAAGCTGCCCAGTCTGTGGTACTTTGTTTCAGCAGCCTTGGCAAACCAAAACAGGTCTGAACTAAACTGCTAGTTCAGCTGAACAGTTAAGTCCTGTTGATTTTCACTTCCTCACAGCCTACCTCTCTGCCACTCTTTTTCTTAGTTTCAGGTGTGCAGCATAGTGGTTAGACAATCATACACTTTACAAAGTGTTTCCCCTGGTATTTCCAGTATCCAACTGACACTAGTCTGAAGTGGTCAGAGGAGGTTTGCTGGTGCTGTTAGATTTACCAGGTTAGGCAGAGAGGCAGGCACTCTAGAGCAAGAAGCTAGATGATACCATTCGCAGCAACAATGTTGGTATATGGTGGGCCAACAATGGCCACTGGCGACTCAAAAGAGTGAGTGGAAATTAGCCAAGAGACTATCATCACACCCTTGCACCCCTTTGCAGGGGAAAGCGAAGCCCAGACAAAATGAAGACATTACCTAATGTCAGACATCATATTAGGGGCGGAGATGAATGGAGAGCCCATGTTTCCCAAGTCCAGCAGTGTTGCTCAGACACCTACCCTTAGCACACCAGGGACAAAGCCAGCCCAAGTGGGCAGACGGTGAGGGTTTGGGTAGAAGGATTGGTTATTCAGAGGCTCTGAATAGTACCTTGTTGGAGGTCTAAACATTTTTTCCCACAGTTGAAGACACAGCACTTCTTCTTGTCCGGACAGGTTTTGTTCTTCGAACATTCATCCCTTTCTTTGAATTGGCATCTCTCTCGGATTCTGGGGCATCTCCCTGTGGAAGAGACAGTTTTACAACCATGAGTCATGGAGGGCTCAGTGCCCATCTTCTCCAGACCCAAGGCAACTCTGGGAAGTCAGGGAAATTTGCTTTTACTTTGCTCTTCCCAGAAGTCCTTTTCCTCAGGGTGTCCTCATGTATTTCCCAGCACTGCCTGCAATACCCTCCTTCCTGACCATCCCTCACTCTCTACCTTCTT